ACAATAGCTGAAAAATTATATTATTGACAGTGGAATTATATATTTTTACTCTCACGTTTCTGTAAATGTTTTTCTTTTTCCATTGCTGAAAAAAATATTTGAAACTGTGGTGGCCTCTGAAGCTCAGTGGTCCCTGTAATCTGCTGTGTTCACAGTGTCTGGCACTGTCCATGTGGCCTTTCTTAGCATTTTTATCTGCAGAAGAACTTTGTATGGCACTCTTGTGTCGGTCATATGGTTAATCTAAATATACATCTCACTGGAATAATTGTACGTAGCACTGTGCTGTGTAGATAGTTCCTACTGGAAAAAAAGTTGAAGTTTATTAAAGCCAGAAAGTATGAGATTCTATTATGTTGAGCTCAATAAGGGAAATCCAAACTCCCAATGTTTTTTCGTCTTTTTAGAAAGATGTGTTGTGGTAAAATGTGTTAATATAAAAGTGATCATTTACTTCTAGTAGTCTTTTATGATTACACTAGTATATTCTAGAAATAGCTATGTCTTTAGGAAATTGTGATTTCGCTTTTGACGTTTACAGGTAAGTGGAAAGGAGAAGTGATCTCATGAAATGTGTAACATTTACCTTCAGCCTTCAGAGTGGAATGAGTTTGAATCATTCAGGAAGTCAATCTGTATAATCTTGATATCGTTTTATAATAATTTGAAGTCGAAAAGACTGCGTTTTTAAACGTTACTCTCAATGTGTTGGCCCATGTAAGAAAAAGATATTTGATTATCTTAAAAATCGTTAAATACCCTTTTCATGAAATTTCTCAGTATTGTAACAGCAACTTGTTAAACCCAAGCATATTTGATTGTGATCCCTCATAATTTGAAATTGAACTAGTATTGTAGCTCTGTATATTATGTTAAAAAATTAAAGGATAGAAGAAACCTTTCTTTGTGTATGCATGTTTGGATTAAAAGAAAGTAATGGAAGAATTGATAAATTAAGTGAGGTGGAATTCTTTTCTTTCTACTTTAGGCGCTCTTTGCCAGACTTAGAACTGGGCATTGCTGTTTTAATGTATAATCAAGCCATGAACATGAAAATCCAGCACTAACATTTATTGGTAGTCATCTCCAAATCCTTTCTTAAAATGTTCCAGTGGTTGATACAATCTCTGTGATGAGAAAAGGCTTTTTAAAAAGAGAAGCTATTTATATTTATTTGGGAAAAATGTTAAGTTCTTTCCTAATAACAAAAGTTGTTCATTTTTTAATCTTGCATTCTAGGTAGCATGTGGTATTTTATTGGTAATTGTCTTAGTAGATTATAGACCAAGAAAGAAGGTAGATGGTTGATCTGTAGAATTTTAGAACTTTCATAGATTTGTCACTTCCATGACTCTGCAACACTAGCTAGTCTTCCAAGAACACAGGATTGAATTATTCCCACAATGTCATTTTGAGCTCTGGGGCAGCTTTGACAGTGTTCCCACTTATAAGATTGTAAGTGACACATGAAGGGAGATTTTTGGATTCTATTTTCCTTTAAGTCATTCTGTATTTTCCCTATTTGTTTTATTACATTTTGAAATTTCTATAAGGTTCTGGAATCTCCTAATGTAGTACTTTGCTTGGTGGAAAGGGCTATTCCAGAGAGAACCAGCCTGTACCTTTGTTTGTGTTCTTATTGTGGCGGCCTTATTTGAGCCAACTCAGTGTGCTTTACGCATCATCTGGTAAGTTAAGTGATGCATCCTGGAGATTCTAACACAGAGAACTCTCTCTTCTGTTCAAATATAGCTTGACTGATGTCACCCTGCCTCAAGTATATTACTTAAAAAGCAGACTGCAAAGAGAACAGCTGTCAGGGTGAGAAGTCTAAACACATTTCTGAAAAGTAGCCTGATGCTGACAAAATATATTTAATCAAGCTCAAACTTCATGAAATTGAGTTCATTAATTAGGATTTTAAATCATTATGGGTAAGAAAAAATATTATTTGTATCTAAGCTACTGAATAAAACAAAGATGAAATTATCTAAGATGATGTTAAGATTTTAATGAAATGAGTTAATGAAAAAGAAAGCGTGTGGGAAGGCTGAATCTTTAGGACTACTGAAGTATAGGATTAGAGTGGGTAATAATGATGATTAGCCACTCAAGAAGTATACATTTTTAAGCATCAAGGGCAGCCCTGTCAAATGAACCTGGGCTTTTCATTCTCTCAGGCAGATCTGAAGGTGATAGATTATCCAACGCCTTCTATGACATTACCTGTGATCTTTGTGTTTGGGTGCATGGCTACTGAAAAGCCCCTGAATAGGTCCATCCTGAGTCCCAAATGGCCCTACTATGAGCTTGCAGAGGTCAGGCTTATCCCAGGTTTACAGGAAGCCACTGTCTGTGTACACAGAAATGCTACCATAAACACATAGTGTGAGAGGAGGGTGAGTTTCAGATCAAGGTCTGTCCTCAAATTACAATAAATGGCTGTGAGGCGAACCCAACACCCTAGATAGCCTTTCTTCCAAACCTAGCATTTTTTTAAAGAGGAACTATACTACTTTAAAAAAAAATCTCTTATTCTCTGTTTACATATCCCATTTAGAGGAATGTTTCTTAGGACATTTGCCAAGTTAGCCTTGATGTTAAAGATGAAATTTTAGCTAGAGAATTTAATGCTAATACAAAAGAAAAAGTGTTCAGCTATAATTTCTAAAATCTGAGCTTATTGTGGCTTAAATTTATCTCAGATACTCTGTTATCTAAGCAACAATGTGTTTGGTATGAAAACCAGTTTTGCATGTTCACCCTAAGTAATGTGCTGCTGAATGGAACCTTTCAGAGAGGGAAAGGAAACCAGAAGTGTGGCTTTTAGTTCTTAGGTTCCTTGAGCCCAAACCGCCTCCTACAATTTCTCTAATATTTGTTTAACTCTTAAAGTTTATTCATTCCTTTAAAAATAATCTAAATAAGTGAAACTATTTCACTTTCAGCTGATAC